ATAAAACATTTATTGTTGTGTGTGTGTTTTTTTTATTTTTTTTTATTTTTTTTATTTTTATAATACATTGATATTAAATTTTATGTCTGATGTTGTGTGTATTGGATGGGAAAGATGATGTAGCTGGAACAAAGACTCTTTCAGGAGAGGGACAACATGACGACTACATCAGGCAGAGCTGTTATTGATGATCTAGAACGGGCCCTTGAGCAGTGGCAGTGGGCGTCACAAAGGGATTACTGATCTGTGGGCAGTTTATTTATAGAACATTTTGTACATTATCATAATGGTTTGTAAAATTTAACATTATCTTTTTAATTTGTAACATTTGACATTATTATTTTAAGTTTTTAAATTTTAACATTATCTTTTTAGTTTGTAACGCGCAAAAACTAATTAGTGTGCATGTAAGATATAAATTTAGTCAAAATTAGAATACATAAAATAAATAAATAAATGGAATAAAAATAGCAATAAAAATACAAGGTTACATAGAAAAGGTATACGCGTGAAAAACTAAAAGGCAGCTAGGTTGTTCCAATGGTGGATGCGGTCATGATACAACACATCCCAACCCTCTACGTTTGGTGTGCGAATGGTGTACCACCGAGGTATGATTGGTGGCACCGGAAAATCGGATGACAGGTCCAATCGGATGAAATGTCTGTTTGACGGCCCTAGAAATGCAATAGCTAACTCTTTTACCGGTGTGGTGACGGTTGCACGCGAACACCAAGGGAGAACCGTGGTACACGGATAATAAGCTCGACTATGCAAACCAAGCCCGAAATGCATGACTGCACACTTGTAGATGTTTGCAACGACAAACAGATCAAGTGGCACGTCGAACCAATGATTTTGATCGCAAGGTCCTCCTCCCCACCGGATACAATGCAGAGAACTATCCAAGTCTTGGCCATACACATGGAGATAAACATCTCGGTTTGAGGCGATTTCACATTACATCAACTGATGCACTAAACCGTAGTTGTCTTCACCCATTTGAAACACATTAGCCACGACCCGAAATCCGCAGTTACCATCTGCAACCACATCATTCCACCTGTCCAAGTATGCCATGATGATGTTAGGGACCTGTCCTTATATGGAAACTGATCAATATCCATTCTTCCTGTTGCACATATCAATAAACATAATTAAAAAGTCAGCAGTAAACTAACAAACATTCTAAAAAGTAAATTAAAGTAAAGTACTGTACTGGTGCCGGGCATATTCACCAACGAAGAAGATTGGCTACGACTGGATGACGATGAACAACCACGGCCATGACCACGACCATGAATGTACTCAAACGCACTCCTGTTCCGCCGTGGTTGTCGACGTCTAGGTCGCTCGACCCCTTCAAGTTCCTCGTGATCCAAGCGTGACGTGTTGAACAGGTCATGAAGTATGTGGGTAGCATCACGAATGATTGAAGGGTGACTAGAGGACACTCGGTCAAACATTGAACGAAACTGCTCCAACTCCTTCTGTTCACGGTGGACCGTCTGTGGAACAGCATGCTCTCCAATAACGAGCGTCCGCCAGAATGGATGAACCTGATTAACATGTAACGACGCCCTATCTTGCGTAATTAAGCGGTGAATGGTGCATGCGCAAGGTATTCCATGAGTCACTGATATAGCACATACGCACCGAATAGCCACTTCATCAACTAACTCCTTCATCCTGTTGTGATCACTCAGAATCAACCCGAAGCAGTAGTGTGACACACCACCATGGAGAATATGAAATGGAAATACATCATGCCATGTCAGTGTCTAGAGTCCTCGAGAGAGTTCTTGATGCCGTTCTTCTGAGTATCAATAGCCTTGTTTATTCTCTCGAACAGTGTATCCAGAGCAGAGGTGGAAGAAACAATCCAGTCCTTCAAAGCTCTATGAGCGCTCTCAACTCTACATGTTGTTATGTAGTGTTTCCAAAATGAAGAACTTAGTTTGTCCAATATTTGACAAACTTTTCCCTCTGAGGTATCCACTGCTGCATCACATAGTTTACCATTGTCGGGGCACCATTGGTGCGCATCCTTGAAGTTATCCAAGGCTCGATCGTACTCTGCCTCTATGGTAGCTTGCAGGATCTTCCGCCACTTACCATTTACCAATCTCTCTGCTGAATCTAAATTCTTGTTGAAAAGGTTGTAGGCTTTGACTTTCACACAGTTGTTGATGTGTCATATGCACAGTAAATGCTTCGATTCTGGAAACAGCTCTGCTATGGGGGCAAAGAGACCTCCCTCACAATCACAGACGATGGTTGATGGCTGAACATTAGGCCGATGTAGTTTCTCAACTTCTCCAACACCCAATAATAACTCGCAGCCGTCTCATCCTTGATGACTGCATAACCAATCAGAAAGTTTTGGTTTGTTGGAGCCATCCTAACCATCTCAACCAGTGGGAACTTGTACTTGTTTGTCTTGTATGTTGAATCGATCAAAATCACAGATGGCCAAGACTTGATCATATCAGCACAATCAGGATGCACAAGTGAGTCACCTTCGATGTCTCTTCATCAGAATTAAACCAGAATAGGTAACCACGTGCTTGTGCCTGGTGTAGAAGCTGCTGAATAGGGTTCCTTCCCTCTGACCGTTCAAACCTCAGTTTTTGTCTGACGTTGTAGATGTGTCTTCGGTTTGGCTGGTCTTCAAGAAATTTCTCTAGCACAAATGCTAATATTTTAGCAGGCTTCAATTGAGCATCACTCATTTCTTTGACAACTAATTTTAATTTGCAGCAGGACTTAGGCCGCTTAACTATTAATGACCCACTTCATACACTATCATCTCATGGTTGTGATACCCCCATTTAGAGTAACCCTTCACTTCCCAACCGTCATGACTTTGGTGTTGTTTAACCTTTACTCTGAACTCACACCCACAACCTTTCCGCTTTGTATCAAACCGAATCGCTATACTGAAATTTCGTTCCTCCCTTTTGCGATAACAGTCGCATCTCAAAATGCGATCCATTCTACCATCCCGCTGAGATTTATGAGATGCGACTACTAAACAAAAACCAGATCTAATTGCAACCTGTTTTGCCCAATCAATCGCTTGTTGAGCATCTTCGAAGGGACCATCATGTACAAAAATCCCACTGTAATCAACACCGTCTCCACCAAAATCCTACAAAAATTAAATAATTTTAAATACATAGAATTATATAAAGATTAAATTAATACATTTAACACAAAATTAACACATAAGTAATTTCTAAAATTTTTATTTGTAAATTTCATTTCTATATTTAACACATAATACATTTAATTTCTAAATTTACACATAATTAACAAATAATTATGTATAAAAGTATTCATACACATACAAAATTAACACATAATTGTATAAAAGTATTAATACAAATACAAAATTAAAACATAATTTTGAAATTATTAACACATATCTAATTTACACATACAAAATTAAAACATAATTTTATTAACACATATTTAAAACATAATTTCAAATAAAAACATAATTTTATGTTTTTTTGAAATTATTAACACATATTTAATTTCAAATTTATCAAAGTTAACCACAGAAAAAAAACTTTAAATAATTTTTTTTTTTAAAAAAAAATATTCGAAATGGGCGGTGGCGTCTGGTCGGAACGCCGCCACGGTGGCAACGTCCTGGCCAGGCACCACCGCCACGGTGGCGACATTCCGGCCATCCGCCGACCAACATTTCGTAACTTCAACAAGCAAGGTACCTCGCTTCCCGACGACGATGACGACTCTCTGGTGTCCCTCGGCTCTCCGGTGTCCCTCGGCGATCCAGTCCGGCTCCACAATTTTCGAGAGATATAATAACGTTTTCGGTAAAAATTAGAAAAAGGGCAAAAGTGTCAAACTAAAAATAATTGTGGGCTTTATGTAGAAATTTGTGGGCGATGTTTAAACTCTCCCAAAAAAAGTGAGAAATTATTATACCAAAGAAAAAATGTCAGAAATTATGGAGAGATTGTTACATACACCCGGGTGTACGTTGCATCCAAGGGAATTGTTTGTTTATTTTTATGATTATTGCTCATTTAATCATCAAATGAGCAAAAAATTACCCTTGGATGCACCTTACACCCAAGTGTATATAATTATAATTTATTTGGACAACTTTGCCACAAAATAATACTCTTATTAGATAATTATATAAATAATTATTAAATATGTACAAGTACTTTCCAAGCATTATAAATAGCCATGCCATTCTTCATTAGTTTTTGTATGAGCCAACTTAGCAACCTTAAATAAATTTTTAATTATACAATTAATTACAAAACACATATTTCTAATTAGCAAAGTCATTATGGGATGTTATCAAGCAGAGGATATTACATTTAGACCTCTTGCTCATTTTCCTCCAGATATTTGGGGTGAACACTTTGTCACCTTCACTCCAGAAGACAATTTGGTAATTAATTATTCCAATTTATTATGTTTTTAATTATATTTGAATTTTCGATACCCATATAATTGATGAGATATTATATTATATTATATGTTTTTTAATTCTACTTTTATATGAGGATTTGCATTATTTATGATTAGATGTTTATGGGTTCCCTTTTCTTATACTACGTTAATAATTCATAGTTTTTCAATTGATGCATACTTATATATGTTGATCCGAGCACACCTAGAATCGATCGGACTAGGTATATATATACTCAAGTTTCCATGCACTTTCTGTTCTAAAACATTATCATTAAATCCAACTCGAGTCGTATCATGATTAAATTTCACCTTATACTAGGATGTTACAACCTTACAACCGGTTGCCCATTTTGTTAATTTGCATGAATGAGTAAATCTCATTTGTGCAAATGAGAATATAGCTTAAATGGTTATGTTATATTTGTCCGAAAGATAGACGAGTAAATAATACTAACAAACTAAAAGGTGCTCATCATATAAACGAGATTTAATCTTAATTCATGCGTGGCACCTTTACATTATTTTGTGTTATGGTCTAGAAAATGGAAATATATGCAAAAGAGATTGAACCATTGAAGGAGGACTTGAGAAAGAAGCTACTAATTATGGATGATTCTGTTGATTTGGGGAAGAAGATGAGTTTCATAGACGCAGTGGAACGTTTGGGAGTTTCCTATCACTTTGAGAGTGAAATCGAAGACATGTTGAACAAGATTTTCAAAGAATTTGCTGCAAATAATTTCGACATCGACTATGATTTACACAACACTGCATGCCAATTTCGCATATTCAGGCAACATGGACACAAAATGCCTTGTGGTAATACACATACTTTCTACGTTCTTTAATTATCGAATTGAAACAACTGAAAAATTTTAACACTATTTACATACTTCTATATATGTGAGGTCTTAGTTAGTAGATTTGTCTAGATATACTTTCTAAATGTATTTCAATTATATGTATTTATAGTGCTTATTTCACAAAAATTAAAAATATAAGTGGTTAAAGTTGTACCATGAATGGTTGTAATTCTAGCTAGCTACATGAGTGGTATACCGTGCACACATGTTAAGCTAGCTTGAATTTACAAATATAATTTTTTTTTATCAAAGTTTATTATACTTTCTTAAGTATTTTTATATCTATCACTTATAATAAACTCTTACAAATTGCAGATGTATTCAACAAGTTCACTAATAGTGATGGCAAGTTTAAAGAGAATCTAAGGAATGACATAAAGGCTATAGTGAGCTTGTATGAATCTGCACTCTTAAGGGTATATGGTGAACCTATCCTAGACGAAGCTTTCGCTTTCGCTACGGATGTCCTCAAATTAAGTGCACCATATTCTGAGCTAGCTCGCCATGCATTGAAGCAAGTATTGCACTTTGGCATTCAAAGGGTGGAGAATCGCCTTTTCATTTCTTTCGATGAGGAAGATGAAACTCGACACGAAACACTTCTAAAGCTAGCAAAGATTGATTTCAATAGGGTGCAACTATTGTATCGTAAAGAATTGAGCCAGGTCTTAAGGTCAGTTCATCCTATTTTAACTTGATCTACCACAAATAAAGAGGCAAAGATATAAAAAGTTTAAAACACACGTGCTTTTAAGTGTACTGAATTTTAAAACAGACTAAGCTAAACGTTTTGGAATAATTTTAAAGGAACAGAGGGAGTATATGATAGTTTTAAGTCGTCTAATATATAATTTCAATTCACTTCTTATTCCACAGGTGGTGGTACGAGTTGGATTTTAAAACAAAGCTTCCTTATGCGAGACAAAGAAGTGTGGAATGCCATTTTTGGTCAATAGCTATGTACTATGAACCTCAATATTCTCTTGCTAGAATGTTACTTGTCGAAGTTCTCCCTGTCATTTCAATATTGGATGATACTTATGATGCTTATGGAACTTTGAGGAACTTAAGCTCCTAACAGAAGCATTTGAGAGGTATAAATTACACAAAAATACATAGTATATTGTATATCTACTTACTTTTCCCTAGTTTAGTCAGGCAAGTTTGTCCCACATACGATTGTATGCAAAATAAATGACTTTTTGTTGGAACAACAAGTGTGTAGTGTGTGAATTTTGTGAAAAAACTCAAAGTCCCACATTGGTGGGAAATGAGAGTTTTACTCTCTTTATAATATAGAGAGTGGGCTAAAGGGGTGTGGCCCTTGGGCTACCCACATTTTGTGGAGAGGGAGGACCTATATGGTAAACCATCTATCACACACACGCGCGCCGAGCCGGGTCGGGTTTATTAAATAAACTTATTTTTTGGACAAGGCTAATTGCGTGATTAGTTCCTTGATTTTTGCTAAACGTTTTTGACTGATTACATTTGACCGTTTTTTTCAAAACTGATTAATGGAGCGTTAATCATGCAAACGTTTTCACTGATTTTTTGCTAAACGTTTTGCCACGCATTAATCTTTTGAACGTTCAACTTATGACCGTTTTAATTGCGTGATTAGTGCCTAATTAAACAGCAGCAGTTACGTTGCAATTTTGCCTATAAAAAGGCGTGTTGATTTCCTGTTTTATATATACAAAAAAAAAACAGAAAGCAATCTTCTTCTCCTCTCTATTTTTCCTCACAAAAAAAACCCTCGAGCAGTTTCTTTTCTTTTTGGTGTTTAGTTGCCCGGTGGTTTTGTGCAGTTCCACCGGTATAATTACAATAGAGAAAGGCTGTTTTATCCTGGGGAACATCCGGTTTAGTACGAACTGCTTGCACATTTTCAGGGCAGTGCCGTGAATGTTCTAAAGAGAGCGACATAGTCCGCGACTCAGTCTAATTTTCGGTAACTTTGTTCTTACTGTTTTTGTTCCCGCAGTTCTGTTTTAACACTTTTTACGTTATAGAATTACAATATAAATAATCATGCGCTATAATTAGTAAAATAAGTTAAAATCGTTTTATTTTCTTAACATATATTGCTATCAATATCAAAAGTATAATTAAACTACTTACACTATCCTAGATAGTGGACACTCTCCTAATATTTTGTCAAATTCATAATATAATAAGGTCATTACCACAACATATAAAACACCGTTTTTCAAAGTTAATGACCTAAAAGAGTTTAGGTCATTACCTAAGCCACAAACAAGTTTGTGACAAATTATTTACATTTTTACAGATCAAATAGGGACGAAACAAAAAAATGAATTGTTGTCTTCTCCAATCGTATATTCGGAAGAACGCCAGTCATTCAACCTAAACCACTATGCCGCCGATCGCGCCGCGAAATAGCCAAACACCTATGCGGGTAATTCATCCTTAACAAATACGTAATAATATAATTTTGGTTTAGATTTCTTAAGAACAAAAACCTAAAAATCAAAAAGTGAAAAATTTCGAAATGCTACCAAACAAATTGATGAACGACATTAAAGATCAAACTTCACAGTGCAACATTGAACGAATTAGTGCATAATAGTGACAAATTTGTAAATGAAGAACAATGAAGAACAATTTTTGTTTTGATTTTATAATTTTCATTTTTTGAAATTAATTAAGAAATCAAAAAAAGAATTTCTGAATTATAAAATATAATTTTTGAAAACTAAAAAAGTATTTTAGAAGTAAAAAATATGAATTTTTATTAAATAAAACTTTGAAAAGTCAAGATGATATGACTTATAACATCCAATCAAATCATACCCACATTATTAGACTTGTGGTAGTCACTTTTCAAAAGACTAATGTAAAATCATCCATATGTCATAAAATTGGACAACAAAAAAAAAAAATAAAAAAAAAAATAAAAAAAGATATCAAAGTATCAAACAAGCCCTTAAACATGTTTGTTTGTGTTAATTGGATTAGATTGTTGCAAACTTGTAAAGTTTATAATACTTTGTATAAACCTTTTTTCAGTGTTTTGTAATTTTTCTATGTCATGTCCGGTGTTGAAGAAGATAGAACACGAAAAATGGAACTCGACAACAACAACAACAATAGCAGCAGCAACGACAACGACAACGACAACGACAGCGACAGCGACAAAATTATAAGATACATATTCGCATTATTACTTTTTGTGGGCTTTAGTGGTTTTCATCGGCTGTATCTACAATCGTGATTCTGTTCCAGAGTTTGAGGTTGATTCTCTTTCCATGAAAGTATATAATAATACTGAGAAAAGTGTAACAGCTGATTTGAACTTTACTGTCACATTAAAGAACAAGGATGAAGATTTATTGTCTTTTGATCAAATGCAAGTGTCATTAGAGTATCATCAAAATGATGAGATTATGTCATCGACGTCACTTGATGCTTTTCTTCTAGATGAAAAACAACGCCAGATTCAATTTGGAATGCTCATCAATGCACACTACCTTCGAAACGAGACCGTGGATTCGATCTATCGGGATAATGTTTTACGGTTTGGTTTAAAAGCTCAGGGTCACTATGTACGTCCTCGTGATCATTATTTTGACAAGTGCGAGATTAAGCTCGTGTGATATGATATCGGAGTTGGGTTTTCGCCCGAAAAGAATTCGACCATCACCGGGAGTTTGATTATCAGTCCACTCCCTTGCAAATGCAAATCTGAATGTAAATCTAAAAGGTACTAGAGAATAGCTTTCATTCTCGTTTGCTATTTTAAGTTCTTGGCATGCCAATTTCTGTAGTGGTCTATTTAGGAAATTCTTGACTAATCTTTATTTTAGTTTGGCTAATCTTCGGCTGCAGAGTGTAGGGTATTCTTTGTGGCATTATACTTGTTTAATGTCTGACTATTTTGCAATGCATGGTTTATAAATCTACGAGTAATTATTAATTCCGTAGGAAAAAAAAATCAATTAGTAATAAAGGGCTGATTATTTGCACTGATTAATTATTGAAATTTTACTTAGTCGCAATAATGACCTATTCAAAAATTAAGGAATGTGATTTGAATAGTTTTTTATGTCATTTGCATTTATTTTATTTTTTATTTTCTAATATGTTATCTTATTAATTGAAAAATAAATGAATAATGTTCCACTAACTATATAAGAAAAGTAGTCTATTTCATTTCCTATCTCCCGTAGAGGAAACATTAAAATTTTCTTGTCTTACCATCCGCTGCAATAGCTATATAATACAATACTTATTTTACTCGTCGTATTCACCAAATTTATAGACACAATAATAACCTTACATTTTACCCACCAGTTTATATGTTTTAAACTTTTAACCACTACATAGTAGTCATACAACCAACAACTTATTGAATATACAACACAAATATATAGGTATGGATAATAAAATATTTTATATGAATAAAAGATATTATTAAGATTTATAAGAATAAAAGATCAGACATAATTCGATCAACAACTAAGCAATCATGTACTCCATATGTAATATATAATAATTTTTACGGATTCTTATTATTATGAATGCCACAAAAAACTCATAACATATACACATGATATATAAATTATTTTAAAATTTGAATATGAGCATTACATTAGTAAGGAAACATGAAAATTTTGATGGTTATAGAAATTAGAAAATTCTTCTTATAAATTTTATTAGATATCTATGTTAATAAAAAAAATAGTTAAAAAATTGTACAGAATATTTAATTATTATTATACATGTATAAATTTTTGGCATAATGTTGGAAAATATATTAGATATATATTTTTCAATCTAAGTTAATTTTACTTTAGTTTTCTACATTCATAGTTCGAAAACTCTATATTAATCTAAAATTACATTAGCTATGTAGTCTAAAATTACATGTGATATGTAGATAGTGATTATATAAAGTATTATAAAGATATACGTATATTGTTGAAATTAAATAAACAAAAATAACTCATGCATAAATATATAAACTGTAAAAAAAAATTATCATATATGGAAATGTAATCAATTACGTAGCATTTAGAATCAATCAAAGTAAGTAAATATATATAATTTGGAATCAATATAATTTATATAATAAAACCTAATAAAAAATATGCGATAAAATATGTATAATATATATAAGACAAGCGAATCATAGAGTGACACATGTTAGCTCCACATTGATTCGCTTGTCTTATAGTATAATATATTGATTGATTGATGATACATTGATGATTGATTGATTGATTGATGATTAATTGATTCTAACGACGCTATGCAGTTGTAGTTTCAAGTTCTATCAAGTAGATCAAATAAAGGTGGTGATTTGTGTGTTTAAGTTAGATTTGAAAGTGTCGATTCAGATCGAGTTTAGTTTGAAGTTTTGTCATGTCAAGTCATTTTGCTCACACATGTTGAAATTTGGATCACTCTACTTTCAGGTCGGTCGAATCATGTGAATATTTGACACCTCTATTGTCAAGCGATTGTCCTACTCATCTATTTCATGCTAAAAGATTTGAAATTACACTTTCTATTTTGAGGTCAAAATTGATTGTAATAGATTGTTTTCTAGCAATTAGTAGAAACTTCACTCAATTATATGTAGAGTATAAGATTGCATGTCATTATTATAAAGTATAACATTTTTTTTTGTTCAACACGTGATTATAACTCGTTAATTATTGATCTGAATGGTTTGACCTGAACTTAAGAATGACCCAAACCCATTTTTGACACGTTGAAATCCGTATTCAACCCGTGACCAAACCCAAATTCAACCTTCTTTTTATAGATTAAAACCATCCCATGGTTGACTTACCTTACATACTCTAATACTCTATCATTCACATTATATTAATACAAAGTACATCTTAATTTGACCATTTTTCTTAACAATTCATTTAAAATGATGGGTAATACATCAATCCTATGCTATATATGCCACTCGTACAGTCGTACTAGATTTCTTTCCATAGTTGCTCGAAGATCAGATTTTAAACAAAATGATACTCCACTAAGAGTAGTTTAATTGCTATATTACCCTTACAAATTACCACTTGCACAAGTTGACTGTGTGCTTAATTACATCAAATAACAAAATTGAATAAGAAATTTTAAATACATAATAAAAACAATAACAAAATTAAAAAAATTAAAGACTTGTAAGCTTGTATGATGCTATACAAATAGGCGTGCCATTGTTCAGCAGTTTTGTAGGTAATGCACTTAATTAATTACAAAAATGGGGTGTATTCTTCAAGCAGAAGAAGTTGTTATGAGACCTCTTGCTCATTTTTCTCCAGACATTTGGGGTGACAACTTCGTCACCTTTACCCTAGAAGACAATTTGGTAAATCATTCTTTTCCCTATTCCTTATCATTTTTCTTTCTACTACCTCGAATTTTGGTGTTAGTTTATGGTTAAAGTTTATAAATTTGATGGTAAATGGTTATTACATTATTTCAGTATGTAATTATAATAAAGATAATAATTATGGATATGTTTGATGAAGATGTACTAAAGATCATGAAAAAAAATAAGTGTAACGTAATTTGAGATATGATCTGTTTTTGCTTATTTTTATCCTTCATTATTAGCGTGCCATGAGGAGTTCAATTCACATCCTATCCGATTCTAACTCTTCTATATATAGGGTCAAATGAGAAACTTCTTAAAATGAGAAGGATGCAAAGGATTTTATGTGCATGAATAAATTTTCCACTAAATATGCATATTTTTTGAACAAAATGTGCAAAAAAAAAAAAATTTGACCAAAATTCAATGTGCATATATTTTGTTCACAATGTGCATAAATTTTCGTTTTCCCATAAATATGAAAAAATATAGCAAGTCAACAATCAAATTTACATCTTTAGTCGAAAAATATATGCACATTCAGTTCAAAATAAATGCACATTTCATCCTTCTCAATATAAGAAACTATTGTCTCATAGTCAAAATAGGCGCTACTTAATTTGATTTACGTTGTAATATTATTTATTGTTGTTTCATGTCTAGAGGAGGGAAAAGTACGCTAGAGAAAATTGAACCGTTGAAGGAGGAAGTGCAAATGATGCTGGTTATGGATAATCCCTTTCGATGTCGCGAAGAAGATGAGCTTGATTGATGCAGTGGAACGTCTTGGAATTTCTTATCACTTTGAAATTGAAATTGAAATTGAAGAGCTCGTAGGCCAAATTTTCAACGAATTTGCTACTAAAAATTTCAACGTCGACTATGATATATACAACACTGCATCACAATTTCGCATATTTAGGCAACATGGTTACAAGATACCTTGTGGTAAGAGAGATTAAAAGCACGGATAAATGAAACTTTGCGATTATTAAATATAACTCATTTTTATTGATGATTAACATTGATTTATCTTTATCAAAGTTGACTTTAAGTTACATTATATTCACCAGATATTCACTTATATTATTTGAACTTCTTTAATTTTATTAATCGTCTAAACTAATTGAAGTTATTTTTTTTTTCTTTTTAAAATAAGAGAATAAGGTGAACAGAGTACGGCTTTAGATTATGGAATTGTTTTGATATTATGGTGTTTTCCTTTTAAGTTGAATGTTGATTTTTGTTAAAAAGAACTCATTTTATTGATTAAATTGAATATCATTAAATGAATTTAATTTTTACTAAATGTTTGGGGTTATATCTTGAAAATTAACAAAGTTTTACTTGTTAACAATATAATTTTGGGCTTGACCCAACAAACTAATAATGCGGAAAATACAAGTTTATTAGCATGATAAACAAAAACGTTTATCTAGTGACATTTTCGTAAATACATTAACTTTTTATTAAATGTGGACTCCACAAATGTTGATTGATTTACGAAAATATTATGCTGACTTAGATTTTTTTTGTCGATTTATTTATAGAAATACATTAGATAATCAAATTTTATTTATCATGATCATATAAACTGCCAAAACTGGGGCATGATAAGGAGCAACGTTCAAAATTAAAAAACATATTTAAAAAATCCAAAATTTTCCTGAAAAATTAATCAATTATATTGACTTTGACTATACTTATCTTATTTGGTTCGAAAATGAGCTGTTAGTTGGTTATAATATAAATCCTACTATACGCACATGTATGCATAATCTGTGAACTAATAAAGAACCCTTAGCTTATTTATTTTTCTTTTTAAGGTAATAATATAAGGGTAATGCTGTATGTAGTCCTTAGAGCTACAAATAAATATTAAATATCTTTCCTTATTTGGTATTAGTTTAGGAATGCATGATAAAATTACGTATAAATCAGTGTAATTAATTATTAAGGGCTATGTATAGCATTTTTCATAATATAATTTAAGAAAGATTGCAGATGTATTCAATAAGTTTACCAGTGGTGATGGCAAGATGAAAGAATCCCTAAGGACTGATATAAAGGCCATGGTGAGCTTGTACGAAGCCGGGAACTTAAGGGTACATGGTGAATTCATCCTAGATGAAGCTTTCGCTTTCGCTACCGATGCCCTTAAATCAAGTGCATCATCCTCTGAACAAGCTCGCCATGCATTGAAGCAAGTATGCATTTTGGCATTCAAAGGGTGGTGAGTCGTCATTTCATTTCCTCCTACGA